AAAAAAAAAAAAAAAAGGAAAAGAAAAATAATAAAATAAAAATAGAAAAATTGAGACAAGAGGATTGCTTGCTCCCAAGAGTTGGAGGTTGCTGTGAGCTATGATAACACCATGGCACTCTACCCAGAGTGACAGCTTGAGACTCTGTCTAAAAAGAAAAGAAAAGAAAAGAAGGAGAGAGAGAGAGGGAGAGAGAGAGAGAGAGAGGAAGGAAGGAAGGAAGGAAGGGAGAAAACCAAGACTTTCATGGTTGCTCTTAATCCATTGCTTACTTGTTCCAATCAATTTATAAGGGTGGTCTTGGGTTTTGCCCATTTTAGAAGTGAAAAAGGTAGTACTTAGGGAGGAATATCCTGCCTGAGTGGACCAGTCATAATTAGGGAAGGAATTCAAAGCTAAAATTAAGTTCACCCGGTTGGATGGGCCTGAGCAGAATTCCAAGATCCAGAAGGCCATCCTGTCTTTACTTCTGCCCTTCCTCATCCTACTTGTCCTGCTGCCTTGCAGAGGCTGCCTCCTCACCCATGTCTCGCCCAGATAACCTGGTGTCTAGGGCTTACCTTTCCTGCCCAACAGGAGGGTCCTCTCCAGATCCATCTTTACCTTTGTCTCCCAGGCCTTCCACTCAACCCAAAGGACACCTGCATTGATCTTGTTTATATAACAAAAGGGTTACTATTTCAGATCCACCAATGGTAGATCAGAAAGGGGGTTAGAAGGTGAGACACAACACCTCCCTCTTTGATAACAAAGTGCTATTTCTGGCTATGCAAGCTTTGGAGCCACATTTAAATCATATCTGTTACTTCGCTAACATGGGTGCAGGCCTACTGTTCTGCCCTTGGAAGGATATGTATAGCCCTTAAATAAGTGATAGATAATGGTCTCCAAAATCCCCAAAACATTATTCTTTCAGGATAAAAGCATTACCACTTAAAGACTATGTACCAGGCATTAGGCGCTCTAAATCTCTTCACTAGCCCTGGAGTGTTGAGGTATCTACCTCAACTCAGAGACATTAGTCACTGACTGTTGGTGAATAGAGCTTGACCTTGAATCCTTGTCTGCTTGACTTCGACAAGTAAAACAGGGGCATTTCTCTCTCTATTGCACACCAGAGACCATGAGGATGAATTTTTTTTTTTTTTTTT